TGAAGGTTAACAATGGTTTGATATAACAAGAAGTCCTTAAATATACAGCTATTTATGGAACTCTGAGGAGGTTTCTTTTTTTTTTTTTTAGGTCTTTTTAAATAATTTTTTATTGTTATGTTAATCACCATACATTACATCATTAGTTTTTCTGAGGAGGTTTCTGAATCTTTAAGCCTATTAGCGTCTCTGCAAAATGCGGAGGCATTCAATAAATAGTAGGAGCTGCGATTATTATTATTATGGTTTTATTTGTGTAATGTAATTCATTCTCAAAGCACTTTTACATTCATCATTCATTCATCCAACAAATATTCCTAGAAGGTCTCCCAAGTGCCAGGCACTGTGCCAGGCTCTGGGGAAACTGGTGAGCAAAGGAAACCAGGTCGGGGGCTCACTGGGCGCAGGGTCATTGGGAGGTAGTTTGCGATCCAGTAGGATCCAAACTGTACCAGGGCCACCCTGAGACGTGCAGGATCAGGGACGCTGAAGCCATTTACAGGCCATGCCCAAGAACAGGAGCTTCACTTAACTTTATCAGTCTGGCATCGCAGAGCAGACCCTGAGGATAGGCTGGGCAGGTGTAATCACCTGCATTTCACAGATGAGGGAGGACTCTGCAAGGTCACCCAGCCCAGCTCGAGCCCCAGCTCCCAACGCGGCCCCCGGTGGGTGACCCGAGCCCGGCCTCTCTCCGAGTAGGGAAGGAGGATATGCTGAGCCAGCACGACTACGAGTCGGCCTCCCTGCAGGACGTGCGGGCGTTGCTGCGGCGCCACGAAGCCTTTGAGAGCGACCTGGCGGCGCACCAGGACCGCGTGGAGCACGTCGCCGCGCTGGCCCAGGAGCTCAAGTAGGCGTGGCCCGCTGCTGGGCCCGCCCCCCCGGGGGACAACTACCCTACCTGGCTTCTCCCCTCGCCCGCCCTGCTCCCCTCTGCCCTCCGCAAACTTCATTCTCCCCAGTTCTCCCTCCACGTCTGTCCCCATCACCACTTGCTCCGTCCCTCCTCCAGTAACCCTGTCCCCATCGCGGGACACTCTTCCCTACCCGTGTTCGGCCTGCCCCACCCCCGTGGCCTACCCCTAACCTGGCCGCCCCCTTCAGCTTCCGGCCCTGGCCTGCTAGCTCAAAGTCTCCCCATCAGCCTCAGCTTCCCCACCTCCTCCTGTAAACCCGCCCCTTCCTGCACAATCCCACCCCCCCTCCCTATTGAAGCTCCCCAGAGGACTGGAGCTGAGGACCCGCAGGCGCCGCCTCCCCAAGGAATGCACTGGAACCCCCACCTCCACCCCCCAGGAATGCCTTGCTTCACCCACACCTGCTCTGGCTGCCTTGCGCCTTCACCGTCTGGGGCACAGCTTCCAGTCCCAGGAGGGCGGTCAGGAGGAAGTCTAGGCTGCGGTCTGACCCCCTTGTCATCCCCTTCCTTGCCCCCAGTGAGCTGGACTACCACGAGGCGGCCTCAGTGAATAGCCGCTGCCAGGCCATCTGCGACCAGTGGGACAACCTGGGCACGCTGACCCAGAAGAGGAGGGACGCGCTGGAGGTGGGTTTGGGCGCCAGGGAGCTGGGGGCTGGAGACCAGAGGCTGGTGAGGGGCCCGTTGGGCAGGCTGCTGACTCGCCATCCCCGTGGCCCCTAGCGGATGGAGAAGCTCCTGGAGACCATCGACCAGCTGCAGCTGGAGTTCGCCCGGCGGGCAGCACCCTTCAACAACTGGCTGGATGGGGCCGTGGAGGACCTGCAAGACGTGTGGCTGGTGCACTCGGTGGAGGAGACCCAGGTGGATGTGGGGGTTCCAAGTGGGGAGGGAGACTGGGGGAGGGACAGGGAAGTGGGCCTAGAATCCCATCAGCCCTTTCTTTGGGTTCCTGGGGAATGGGGTTGGGAAACCGCAGTTCCCAAATGCTGGGCTGGCAGACAGGAGGCCTGCAGCCGACCCACTGGGTGGCCTGCAGCACACTGTTGCCCTAGTCGTTGCCCGTGGGAAGTGGAGGGTGCTGGCTCATGGGTCTCGCCTGCGCTCCCAGAGCCTGCTGACTGCACATGAGCAATTCAAGGCTACGTTGCCAGAGGCTGACCGAGAGCGAGGAGCCATCCTGGGTATCCAGGGTGAGATCCAGAAGATCTGCCAAACATATGGACTGCGGCCCAGCTCCACCAATCCCTACATCAACCTCACACCACAGGACATCAACACCAAGTGGGACATGGTCAGTGGTGCCTGTGACCTCTCCTTGCTTCTCACCCACTGCTGTGCTTTCTAACCACCCTGGAACCTCACGTGTCCCAAGCTATGGAGACTCCAGTCCACCTTCGGATCTGGGGTCTGTCGCAGTCTTTGTGGGGCACTGGATAAGTCACCCTGCCTGTCATGGCCTCTGCTGCAAAATGGCCATAACAGCAGCATTTTCCTGTCGAGCCCGATATGAAGTGAAATTAAGCCTGGGGTGTGGACGTCTTTATAAAACCACCGCAGTAAGTTACCAGTTGTATCGCTGGCCCCATTTTACAGATGAGGAAACAAGCCTAGAGAGGTCGTGTGATTTGCCCAAGAGCTTGTCCATGTAAGCCCAGACATCTTGGCTCAGAGTAGCAGGGGCTCTGCTAGGGGTTGGAGCCCATGTCCCCTCAAAGCCAACCTCTGGCTCCCAGAGCTGCCCCAGGCACAAGCACCCTCCCTCCTAGGTCCGAAAGCTGGTGCCCAGCCGTGACCAGACACTGCAGGAAGAACTCGCCCGGCAGCAGCTCAACGAGAGGCTCCGGCGACAGTTTGCAGCTCAAGCCAATGCTGTTGGGCCCTGGATCCAGGGGAAGGCGGAGGTACGGCTCGGATGGTGGGGCCCATCTGGGGGAGCGAGGCCGGGGCCGGGGCCGCAGGGAGCTGGGAGCTCTCATCCCGCCTGGGTCCCCCGACAGGAGGTGGGGCGCCTAGCCACAGGGATGGCTGGCTCTCTGGAAGAACAGATGGCTGGGCTGCGGCAACAGGAGCAGAACATCATCAACTATAAGAGCAACATTGACCGGCTGGAGGGTGACCACCAGCTGCTGCAGGAGAGCCTGGTGTTCGACAACAAGCATACAGTCTACGGCATGGAGGTGAGAGGCACCTGCTTAGAAGGGGCGGCGAGGCCGCACTGGCTGGGGAAGCCTGGGGCAGCCATGGCCGGACCTGGCACGTCTGCCCCAGGAGGGGCCCCGGTTCAGCTTGGCCAGGTCCCCCAATGCGCCCATGGGGATACTGAGATCAGGTGAGGGAAAGTGACCCATCCAGAGTCACGTAGCAGTCTGAAGCCAGGCCAGGATTGGCCACAACTGGGTGATCAACACTTAATACACAGTAAGTCATCAAACGTCAAGGCAGGAAGGGCTGCTGGCAGACACTAAGGCCCAACAGGGTGGAAGACCTGCCCAGGGTCACACCGCGGCCTGGGAGTGAGGCTAGAACTAGGGGCCAGGCACCGGCCGCCCACTGACTTGGCTTGTCACCCGTTCTCCAGCACATCCGTGTAGGCTGGGAGCAGCTGCTCACCTCCATTGCCCGCACTATCAATGAGGTGGAGAACCAGGTACTGACCCGAGATGCCAAGGGCCTGAGCCAGGAGCAGCTCAACGAGTTCCGGGCATCCTTCAACCACTTTGACCGGGTCAGCAGGGGCCCAGTTCTGTGGGGTGGTGGACCTGGAGGCTGGTGGGGTTGGATGACCAAGTGTGATAACCACTCATGCGCCACAGAAGCGGAACGGGATGATGGAGCCTGACGACTTCCGGGCTTGCCTCATCTCCATGGGCTATGACCTGGTGAGTGCCCCCAACTGCGTCACGGGAGTCCCATCAGTGCCTCTCTCCTACACCGTGATCTCCTACTGTATCCCTCCCACCTTCACATGCATTTCATTTCCCCCTCATCACGCCCACTGGGGCTAGGCAGAATGACCCCGTTTCATGTAGGGGCTATCAAAGGCTCAGAGAGGTAAACTAACTTGCTCAAGAACACAGCTAGGATTGGGACTTGGTTGTATGTGACTTGAAAGCCTGAGCTTGCAACATTTTTACCCAGAGAAATAGCACTACAGAGAGCTCCAGAAAAAAAGATCAGGATCAAAGGGCAACAGGGGGTATTGCCAGGGGCAGGAGGCAGGTTTCAGCTTAGTAGAAGGGACTCCCCGTAAAGCCAGAGCTAAGGCTGAGGCAGTCTATGGAGGGAAGAGAGCACTTTGTAACCCGGGTTGTCAGGCCAAAGCTGGACAGTCCCCAGGAGGGGACATGAGGAGCCTTCTGGCTTTAGCACCCACGATGGGCACGGTGCCTGGCCTCTCTCCCTGCAGGGAGAGGTGGAGTTTGCTCGCATTATGACCATGGTGGACCCCAACGCAGCTGGCGTCGTGACCTTCCAGGCCTTCATCGATTTCATGACCCGAGAGACAGCTGAGACTGACACAGCTGAGCAGGTTGTGGCCTCCTTCAAGATCCTGGCAGGAGATAAAGTGAGTCCCAGGTGGTGGAGGAGGCTGGCGGGCTGGGACAGGGAACAGGATCTGTGGGTCCTCAACAACCTTTTCTCCCCCAGAACTACATCACTCCCGAGGAGCTGCGGCAGGAACTCCCCGCCGAGCAGGCCGAGTACTGCATCCGTCGTATGACACCCTACAGGGGCTCCGGGGCTCCAGCTGGAGCCCTGGACTACGTGGCCTTCTCCAGTGCCCTCTACGGGGAGAGTGACCTCTGACCTCAACCCCTACGGCTCTCTACATGAGTCGGAGAGAGGGAGCTCCCTCTGGCTGATCCCATCCATCTCTTGGAGCAAGGGCCTCAGAGAACGGCCAGCCACGTCCTTCTGAATAAAGACCGATCCATGAGCTTCTCTCCATCTCTTTTCAGTTCCCGAAGCACAAGTTGGGTCCTCAGGCTCATGGGCAGGACCAGCTGCCCAACCTCAACCCTCCAGGAGTCCCTACCACCCCTCTTTGCCCTTAGGTACCAAGCACTCACACCACACTCGGGCCTAGGACACCTCTTTATTGCTGTTAGAAAAAGGAAGTTACAATAATTTCTCTAGATGTGGAAGCAAACAGTCCCCAAATCCAGGGGGAACCAGAAAAGTTATAGCATCAGACAGAGGAAAAGGCAGGGCAAGAAGCCAGAGCTTGCTAAGGACAAAGCTGGGTTTATGACCAGAATATCTTCTTCCCACCTGCTCCTTACCCAAGCCCGAGGTTCTTGCCCCAGCCAGCTTCAGCTGCCAGGACATCATCCTTTACCCCAAGGTCCTTCTAGCTACCACAAGTCAACAAAGGTGCCGTTGGGGAACTTCAGGATAGGGGTGGGTGGAGAGGGGTAGGGGTATTGCCCTAGCCCAGGGCCTTTTGCTCACCCTGAGGTACCCGGTGCCTGTCCCTCAGCCAGCTTGCCTCCTGGGAAGGGGCCTGGACACGCAGGTCAGGCTGAGGAAGGGGCTGCTCTGGTCAGCACCAGGTCCTGCGCTGGTGCTCCTCAGTTCACCACTGCCGAGCTGGCCATGGTGTTCACACCACAGGCCCCGGACCCACGATGCAAGTAGTAGTAACCCTGGCGGGAAGGCAGGCGGGCTGGTGAGTGCGCTAGGGCAAGGTGGGGCTGGAGAGCCGAGGCCAAGGAGACAAGACTCACCTCCTCGCCCCAGTCGGTGCCCCAGCTGTTCTTGATGGCCCAGAAGGGAATGCCAGAGCCTGGGTAGCAGTGCAGAGTGCAGGGGGTCAGGGGCCCCCAATTCTCCAGTCAGGACCCCCAGCCCTTTGCACTCTCCCACGATCTGCTGTGGCCTACTGCGAAAGGAGCAGAAAGGCAGACAGGGCCACCTGCCACCCTCCTGGAGACCTGGTGTGGCTCTGGGTGGGGGAGGGCACCCAGCGCCACCACGCCCCCCCCCCGGCCCCGCCTCTAGCAGGTCATTTATCTCTAAGAGTTCAACCTTCCACTGCCTCAGCATTCCCATCCAGAGAGGGAACGGATGACTCCTGCCTGGCCCCTGGCCCATGGACCGCAGCAGGGGTAAGGACAGGGTTCCCAGGAATTCCCTCAGTTTCCCTCTCCAGAGGTCCTGAGAGGCTGTGGTTCAACCTCTGCCCGTGATCTGAGGGGGATGGGCAGAAAGGGGGTCAGTGGAACTCACGGTTGCCGTAGCCCACGAGCAGCACAGCATGGTCGATGAGCCAAGGGCTGCAGAGGGGCCGCAGTGGGTGGGAGATCCCGTGGCGGTAGAACTGGGGGTGGGGAGAATAAAGAGTAGGGGGCCACCTCCAAGGAGAAGCGGGAAGGGAGCTGGCAAGGGACAGGCAGGGGCAGCCGAGCTGGGGCCTTACCTGCATGCCAAAGGCATTGATGGCGACAGAGATGGGGCCCTTCTTGGCCAGCCAGGCCACCAGCTCTGAGAAAGGCGAGGGACAGCGTCAGGGACAGCCAGGCCCCAGCCCCACCTGGTGGCCTGTCCCCCACCCTCACCCTGGCCCTTACTCACTCTCCTCATTCCGGCTCAGCTCCACCGAGTCGTTGATGTAGACCCTGGCCTTCTTTGCGGAGAAACTGCAGGTCTGCACGTGGCCGCAGTAGCCGTAGTCATCCTCTGTCTCCAGCCCTCCTGGGGGGTAGTGGGGGTGGGAAGGGGTGGGGAGAGAAAATACACTCATCTTCTCCTGGCCAGGGGCTACCCCCAGCCCCTTCTGTGAGGTCTTAAGGTCCTTGCCCACCCCGGACCAAGGCCGTGCCCTCTGAACAACAGCCTCCCTCTAGAGATGACAAAACAGAGACTAAGGGGGCTGAGGGAAGACCAGGGAGAAATATGGCAGGGGATGCGACTCGATGCCCAACTTCTGATCCTTACTCATCTCAGCACTCCTGGGGCTCTGCATCTTGGCTTGCTTGTCCTGCCCACACAAGTCTGCTCCCAGGGTGGCCCAGACCCGCCAGGCTCACAGTCTCTGTACAGCCACCCCAGTCCCTCAGCCTTTCATCCCATGGCCGCTGAAGCCCACCACTGAATTGAATTGCCAGTTTAAGTCAATACCTCCTCTCAAGGGTGAGGTGTGTTGCTACCTGACTTAGTGGTATTACAGAAATATGGACCTCCAAGCAGCAAAAACACCAAGACCCCTGCTACGCACCAAGGACTTTATGTATTATCTCCTCACTTGATACTCAGAGCAATTCTATGGAGTGGGCAAGATGAGCCCCATTTCACAGATGAAGTCAAAGAGCTGACTTGCTCAAGGTCTTCATTAAGGGTCAGCATTAAGACCTGAACCCAGTTCGTGCTAAGTCCCACTGCCCCTCCCGATCCCATGAATGCATACCCAGAGTCTTTATGGCTGAGTAGGCATTGGAGGGCAAGCCACCCAGGCAGGCCTTGTCCACCTTGTCACAGTCCAAGAGCTCTAGGAGACAGAAAGCTGGTCCCAAGGAGCCCTCTGGAGGGGCTGGGCGGGGGGGGCAAGGATGTAGAGTGGGATGCTCACCCTGCTCAGAGAGGGAGAGGAGGGCCCCCCGTTTCAGGAACCACTGACCCTCCACGTTGCCGGTGACTGAGAAAGCCCAGCAGGAGCCACACATGCCCTGCAAGAGAGGGCCAGAGACGGGCTGGGTCCCCTCTCAACCCCAGTGCAGTCCTCATGTCCCACCATTGCCTCTTAGGGGTCCAACCTGGTCCTTGACTTTGGTGACAGCCCCCTTTCTCCTCCAGTCCCACTCGGGTGGGGCAGAGCTGCTAACGGACTTGTCTAGGTGCATCTTCTTGCCGCGGTTCTCTCTTAGGAGGGGATTCAGGTAGATGGTACGGAACTCCTCCTCTGTGGGCAAAGGTGGGCAGGGGATGGGGGCGGGGGAGAGTATAAGGCAGCCCTGATCAGGGGCCTTGGGAGCAGACCCTGACTCTTCCAGGCTCCCTGAGGGCTCTGGCCACCACTTCTACCTGTAAGGTCACTGAACTTGGTGATCCCATACTGAGCTGTGCCACGGTCCAGTGCCTGGATCTTCTGTGCTCGCATCATGTTGTTGGAAAAGACAGACAGGCGCCACTGGGTTTCTGAGAACCAAGGAGCAGGAGAGGAAAGGCTTGGATCCCAGGCAGATGATAAAAGGAAAGGCACTTGGGTTTCCCTGGGGAGTAGGTGGGCTCTGGATCAGGCCCGAAGCTCTTTTCAAGGACAGAACTCTGGGGAGGGCTGGAGGTGAGGAGAGGTCCAGACCTGCAAGTGATGAGGGGGAGGTGGGAACAACTTTGGGGCCAGACTGAATTTATGGTATCCCAGGAGTGAAGAAGGCATAACCAAAATGGGCTCCAAAGGGCATCCTCAGACAGGGGGTCATGGGAAAAAGACTACCATGCTGGGGAGGTGGGGGCACCAGCAGAGAAAATCTGGCCTTTATCCCTTCCCATTCCATCCAGAATGATGAAGACCCATGCTTTCTGACAAGAAAAACAGGTGGGAGAAGGGGCCAGGTACCTGAGGTAGCGGTCTAGTCCTGTGACACTGGGCAAGAACTTAGGGATTTAAGGGGTCCCTGAGTGGATGCACTGCCTCGTGTGTCCTTCCCCTCCCCAACACCAAGGTACCAAGTGAGGGGAAGGTCCTGATCTGATTGGGCCAGGTACAGCCAAGGCTGGGTCCTCACCCTCCTTCGTCTCATATGTCCGATTATAGGTGGTAACGAACTCCTTGAAGATTGAAGCCATTTTCACAGAAAAATCCTGTAAAGGGCACAGGGGTCTTTACAAGGATTCCTTCACAGATCCACCAGGGAGCCCAGGCCAGGGGGAGGGAAAGAGAAGAGGAAATAAAGCAGCCGCCAGCTGCCAGATGGAGATGGGCGCCTCACCTGGGGCAGGGGTTCCTTGTTCAACAGTGGAAGGACTGAACTCAAAGTCTCATTTTTGTCATCTGAATAGGGTTGGAACAGAGAAGAAATCAAGGTTGAACCCTGCATGAAGTCTGGTCTGAACTATGCCAGCCTCCTTGGGCTCTCCCAGCACCTGTAACCTTGGTATCCACTGGGCCACAGTCTCGTCTCAACAGCATGTGTTTTCCTAGCTCATCCAGGACTTGGAAGCTGCAGAGCTGAAGGGAGAGGAGGAAGCCATTCTGGGGGGCTGGGATGGGAGCAAGGCCTTGGCAAGATGGAGCTGGAAGGGCCTCATGTGAAGACCACCTCCAAGGAACAAGGCAATCACCCCCGCGGTGCAGAGTGAGGCAAAGTCAGCACCCTGTCATGCCCACTCTTAAGGCATTTTAGTCTCTGGCCCTTAGAGCCTTGGGAAATGACTCAGGGTCGGGTAGTTGCTGCCTCCGCATCACTTGACCCAAACTCATCATGGGAGCGGAGTAATCACAAGAGCCCTATCACTCACCAGCGTTTTCTTGGACACAGGGAGCTGGCACACCGTGGGGTCATTGCAGGGAGGCTCCTCTAGGGTCGCCTTCAGGGAATACAGCGACCCCTTGCCCGCCTGGATGGAGGGGCGGGTGAGGCAGGCACAGCCACTCCCTCCTCAGCCCGTCCTTCCCGCAGCCCCGCCCTATCCCCCCTCCCTTTCCCGAGCACCAGAAGTTCGTCTCTCCGGCGTCCAGCGCCCCCACCCGGGGTCCAGGCCAAAGTTCCCAACCCTCCGACCAGGGCCCCCGCGCACGGGCACCGGGAAACCCCCACCCCCGGCGCGTCCTCACCCGGCGGGCGCGACCGCGCACGGCCCCCAGCGTCGCCCGCGTCCCGGCTGCCCGGCCGCGGTTGTGCATCTCCAGGGCGAAGCGGGCGGGCCCCAGCAGCTCCGGGTACGCCACCTCCCGGGCCTGAGCGTCGGCTGCTCGGCGGGGCGGGGCGGGAGCGGCGCCCAGGAGCAGCCCCAGCAGCGACAGCAGCAGCAGCCAGGGTGCCATGGCGAGGGCGAAGCCGGAGGCCCGGACCCACCGACCGACAGACGCGCGGACCAACTGACGGGGCGGAGCAGCCCGTGGCCAGAGGGGCCGGCGTCCCTCCCCCTGCTCCCGGGGCGGCGGGGCGCCGGCCAGTGGACGCGGGCCCGGCGCGCCTGCGCACTCGCTTATTTACGCGAGGCACGTGGGGCGCGCGGGCGGCGCAGGCGAGTCCTCGCCGAAGCGGGGGAGGGGTGGGGTGGGCGCCCTGCGTCCTCGCCGCAGTTGGGTAGGTCTGTGGACACGCGGGCCGAGCTGCAGTCTTGGAATAATCCTCTTAGGTCTTAGAGACGTTTAGGGAGGGGAAAGGATGCTGGCCTGGGAATGACAGTAGTAACTAACAGTTGGCTTTAGAGGCTCCTCCGTTCATCAGCAAGATGGCAGGTAATATCCCCAGGACTGGCAGTGCCTCCGGCTGTTGTGGGGATCTAACACAAACACGCAAGCGTTCGGTAACCACTAAAGCAAGGTGCCGGGTGTAGGACTGTGCTTTGGTTTATTCAAGCTTTCACAGCTGCGTTCCAGGGCCTAGCAAGAAGATACATGAATAGATGCGTTAGGCATAGTGCTGCCTGCTTGGAGCTCGCACTCTAGCGGAGAGACAGATGAGGAAGAGAAATTGCCCTGCAAGGTGTTCCCAGCTGGGGAGGGAAGCAGGAAAGAGGACGTTTAAGGGAATTGAGGAAATCCCAGAAGGGGATGGAGGGCTAGTTTAGGCTTAGAGAGTGCGGAGAACTAATAGTAAATGTCACCCGGTCCAAACCTGACTTGTTACAGCAGCAGAGGTCTAAAAAGGTGAAGTGACTTTCCAGCTACTCAGGAATAAGCGCTGGAGCCAGACCAGAGCTGGCTTTGAGCTCCATCCTGGCTGAGCTCTGAGACGGGGTGGCCTGAAGGATTCCAGCAGGTGCTTATTTCTCCCTGCTATGCAGTTTAAGCTCTTTGGGGCACCCTCTGTGTCTCTTACAGGAGACAATCCCAGGTCCTTAATGCGGCGTCTAAAGCCTCTTGAGTGCCATCCAGTCGGTCCTCACCCTGTGCTGTGCACTTGAAATGTCAGCCCCGCTCTGTTTGTTGACTCCTCAGAAGTTCAAGCTCTTGCACACCTCGGAAACTTAACACTGTTCTTCCCTCTGCCCAATACCCAGACACCTTTCATTTCGCAGTGTAGAGGACACTTCCCCAGGGAGCCATCCCTGACCTACCCCCACTGCCCCTGGCTGGGCTAGCTGCCACTGCCTCTGTACTCCTGGATGCCTAACTCCTGAACTTCCTCTCACACTGGGCTGCAATTTCCTTTTCACTTGTGGCTGCCCTCCGGTAGGCCAGGAGCTGCTCAGGCAGGGGCCTTGTCCTATTCACTGCCGCTTCCTCGGCATCTAGCATGGTGCCCAACACAATACCTGCTTAGTAGATGTTTGTTGAATGAATTAATGACTCCTTCGGCATGCCCTGGAGTGGACATGATGTCACCCAACTGTTATTTAACGCACAGCTTCATTTTCTACTTTTTTTTTTTTTTTTTTTTAGTATATGTGCTGCCGAAGCGAGCACACACAGCTTCATTTTCTAGAAAGATAAATGGTGTGAAGCGTTTCGGAAATGCTATCGTTAACCCAGGCCCCCTACCAGCGTCTGTGGCAGGTCACATACCCACGCTCACACACGCTTCATCTCCTGAAAGGTCTGAAGCTGAATGAATTAAAACTAGGGATTCCTGAGTCCCCAGCAGAGGCAGTGGACTTTTCCTAGATCCAGGTTTCTGGAGACCCACATTGGCTTTTGTGGGAAACAGTCATCTTTCTCAGAGTTTGTCCCCTGAATGCCGGAACCACCTGAAGAGTGTATGGGGAAGAGGGTGGCTCGTTTTGTCACCAGAGTGAGGGGAGAGGCGTAATGATAATTAACGAAGCAGTGGGGGAGAGGGGATATTTTTTTTAAGGTGCACATGTTACCTTGGGCAATTCTCACAACTTAACTTCTAAGTAGGAAACTGAAACCGAGACAGGGAAACTGAAGGGACCCCAGGAGAGAAAAAGCTTGGGCTTTTTTCTTTGCTCCTTTTCCTGCACCCCTGACTTACACAGGTCTTAATGTATGTCCTCTGGGTGAAGGTCAAGGAGTCAGTGATTTCTTTTCTTTTTTTTTTTTAATTTCTTTTTAAACATTTTCTTTTTTTTTAATTTTTTTTTAAATTTATTTGAGACACAGAGAAACAGAGAGCAGAGAGCATGAACAGGGGGAGAGGCAGGGGGAGAGGCAGAGGGAGAGGGAGAAGCAGGCTCCCTGCTGAGCCAGGAGTCAGATGTGGGGCTCCATCCCAGGACCCTGGGATCGTGACCTGAGCCGAAGGCAGACGCTTAACTGACTGAGCCACCCGGGAGCCCCTCCTTTTTTTTTTTTTTTAAGATTTTATTTATTTTTGTGAGAGAGAGAGCGTGCGCAAGTGGGGGTGGGAGGAGTGGGGGGGTGGGAGAGGCAGAGGGAGAAGCAGACTCCCCACTGAGCAGGGAGCCTGATGCAGGACTCGATCCCAGGACCCTGAGATCATGACCTGAGCTGAAGGCAGACACTTAACTGACTGAACATCCAGGCGCCCAAGGAGTCAATAATTTCTTTGGAGTCTTCCAGCACAACAGATAACATCTAAGGAGTGACTGGGCGGGGTCATAAACTTCTCCAAGACCCCTGACTCCAAATACCTTGACGCCAAGACCCCTGGCTCCAGGGTGTAAGTGACTTATGAGGACACCAGACCGCCATCTTCAATAAAAACTCCAGACCCCCAAACAAAGACTCATGCTTCTTCCTTTCCGAGACTCGTGGACATTCCGCCTGTATCTGCTCCCTCTGTATCTTCAGTGAACTCTGCTTTCACCTCCAGCTGTCTCGCATTTGACTTACATCCTGTGTGAAGCCAGGGACCCTCTCGGCTGGTTCTGCGGGAGCCCCCTGTGGGTCCTTGGACGTGGCCTATCTGCATCAAAACCAGGGGCCTGCCAACATTCAGAAGCTGAGTAGGAAAGAGGGAGGTAGCAGAGGAGACAGGGAGGAAGTGGACATTGAGTTGGGGGGGGAGACTAAGAAGGTCATGTCCACAAAGTGGGAGAGGGTGTATTTCAAGGAAGGGGAAGTGGCTGGCTGTGTCAAATGCCATAGGGAAGGCAAGTAGGGTGGGAGAGGTGTGACTTTCGGATTGGGCGACATGTAGGTCACTGGAGACCTCACTAAGAGTGGTGGGTTGAGGGGAGAATTTGAGAAATGTGGACAACAGCTAGAGACAAGGATGTCAAGAAGTTTTGCCATGCCCGAGAGTAGAGAAACGAGGTGATAACTAGCCAAGTAAGAGGCGCTGGAGGAGTATTGTTTAAGATGGCAGACTCTACGGTTACGCGGCTGCCTTTGGTTCATGTCATGATCCCGGGGTCCCGGGATCAAGTCCTGCATTGGGTTCCCTGCTCAGCAGGGAGCCTGCTTCTCCCTCTGTCTGCCACCCCCCCCCCGCTGTGCTCTCTCTGACAAATAAATAAAATTTTTTTTTTAAGATTTTATTTATTCATTTGAGACACAGAGATACTGAGAGAGAGAGAGAGAGAGAAAGCATGAACAGGGAGAGAGGCAGAGGGAGAGGGAGAAGCAGGCTCCCCGCCGAGCCAGGAGCCCGATGTGGGGCTCGATCCCGGGACCCTGGGATCATGACCTGAGCCGAAGGCAGATGCTTAACCATCTGAGCCACCCAGGCACCCCATAAATAAAATCTTAAAAAAAAAAAAAGATGGCAGACTCTAGAGCATGCTTACGGGTTGGTGTTAGTGACTAAATGTTAAGGGAGATACTAATGATTCAGGAGAAAGGGGATAGAATTGCAGGAGCAAAGAGATTGGAAGGTGAGGGGTGGTGTATTAGTTATCTGTTACTGTGTGAAACATTACAAAATGAATCACAAGCCTGCTTCACAAGGCTGCAGTGTCCTAGGAGACTGGCCTGGGGAAGGATCCGCTTGGAAGCTCAGTGGTTATTGGCAGCATTCAGGTCCTTGAGGGCTGCTGGACTGAGGCCTCAGTTGTTTGCTGTCTGATTGGCAATCAGTTGTCCTCAGTTTTTTGCCACGTGAGCCTTCCCAACATGGACTTGCTTCCTCAACGCTGATGTGGTTTTGGAATATAGGTGAGGTTCAGTGGGGTGAGGTCCAGAGCCAACGACCAAGAAAGAATTCTTGAGACATCTTTGGTGCAAAACAGTGGTTTATTAAAACACGGGACAGGACCCAGGGGCAGAAAGAGCTGCTGCACCTCGGTTTTGAGGAGTGGTGATTATATACTGGGAGTTGGGAAGTAAGGAAAAGGGAGGTTTCAAAAGAACTTTCACAGGCTAAAGAGGACTAACCTACAAGATACCTACAAGATATCAGAGGCCTTGCTGTTTTGTCAAGTTAAGGTTGTTTTCCCCTCTAGCAAGGTATTGACAATAAGATAGTTGGGAGATTCCTGGAAGAATGTGACACAGGTCCCACCCAGGAGTGGGAGGGGGGGAGGTTGCAGGGTGTCAGCTTGTGGTTTGCCTTCAGCTAGCCTTCTGCTCCCTCGTCAAAGCCAGTAAAGGGGAAGTGAGGATATTACAATCTTGTAATGATTGTAAATAATCACGTACATGTTATCACTTATCTCTCACCTCTGCCCTGTTGTGGTGTACTCTTAACGGGTTCTAGAAGCAAGCCACAGATCCCTCTCACACCCAAGGGGAGGGGGGAATGCGGTGTATCTCCCTGTTGGATAGGGAGGAAGCTGGGGTGTGGGCGGTGAACCCGAGGCAGAACAAAGGAGATGGAAGTGTATGAATACAGCAGGGGAGCAGAGGACGGGACAGCGAAGCAGAAACTGCAATGAAGCAGTGGGTGGGGGTCGTATTTAAAGGGGGAAGGTGAGGGCGCCTGGGTGACTCAGTCGTTAAGCGTCTGCCTTCGG